TTATTTAAATTTTAAATTTTATAAATTGGATACATATTTGTTGATTTCATTATCACTATCTACAATGAATTCAGTGCCGTCATTTCAGTTTTTGAAAGGGGGGCTAAAGTTGTGGCTGGATCACAAAAGAACTAAAAAAAAAACCTCCCTAACAATAACATTACTATTACATTTTTATCTGAATGCAAATAGCCTTTTTCCATAATTTTATACATACCTACTATCACGGTTATCTGGGATAAGGCATAAATAACTCACTTTTTGAAGGATATCAATGACTAAATAATACATATTAAAATATATTAAGCACATATAATAAAATGTACTATGTAAATTGTATAGAGATACCTCATATTTGATATTACCTATTAGCTATTATATTATGATGACTTATTTTGATAGGAATTTTACCACAGTTGATTGTTTTACCAACGCCAAATAAGAGTACTTATATAACTGTRTAAGTGTATTTACAAAAAATAAAACAAAACATAGGTACAATAAATTATTAAATATAGCATTTATTATTGATTTATATTTCTMAAGTGTTACTTTTATAGTTTTAGWGTAAAATGCTAGGCATTAACTGCRTATTCTATAGTCTTCATAACACCAAACATGTCAACAGCTTAATTTAAAATTTAAATCTAGAAGTGAAGCTAATAAAATTATTTTAAATGATAAATTATAGCGGGCTTGCGGCCAATATCCGGCCCGCTAATGATAGAGGGGGAATACCCACCCTACCCCCCCAATGACTCCACTGAATGCATTCCATGTCCAATTAAAATTACACTCTTTCAATATCATTTAATATTTGTTTCTAAATTTGCAGGAGTTGGCATTTCGCTGTTATGGCACAGGAAAAAATTAAGATGTTGAAGTAATTATCAGATAAGTCCACATTTTCAAAAACTAGGTTTTAATATTAACTTGTACACAAGTTTCACGCTAATGTACATTTTCATAATTGAAAATTTTAAAAACAAAACTAAGGTCATCAATCAATCAAAAACATCTTGAACCACTAATTTTATCCTTATATATAGAACAAGATTTAATCAAATGTATTAAAAAAGATGAATAAAATTAATTATTTATCAACTTATA